CACACGTTTCGTGGCCCCATAGGGAGCTCTACCGAAGGCCCCAGTGGCTTCGCCCGCATGCGGTTCCACCCCCCATTCTGGCACACCCCTCACACGTTTCGTGGCCCCATAGGGAGCTCCACCGAAGGCCCCAGTGGCTGCGTTCGCATGCCTCCCCACCACCCATTTCGGCACACCCCTCACACGTTTCGTGCCCCCATAGGGAGCTCCACCGAAGGCCCCAGTGGCTGTGCGCCCGCATGCGGTTCCACCCCCCATTCTGGCACACCCTCACACCGTTTCGTAGCACATAGGTATGCACCACCGAAGCACCGAAGGCCCCAGTGGCTGCGCCCGCATGCGGTTCCACCCCCCCATTCTGACACACCCCTCACACGTTTCGTGGCCCCATGGGGAGCTCCACCGAAGGCCCCAGTGGCTGCGCCCGCAGCGGTTCCACCCCCCCATTCTGGCACACCCCTCACACGTTTCGTGGCCACATAGGGAGCTCCACCGAAGGCCCCAGTGGCTGCGCCCGCATGCGGTTCCACCCCCCATTCTGGCACACCCCTCACACGTTTCGTGGCCCCATAGGGAGCTCCACCGAAGGCCCCAGTGGCTGCGCCCGCATGCGGTTCCACCCCTCATTCTGGCACACCCCTCACACGTTTCGTGGCCCCATAGGGAGCTCCACCGAAGGCCCCGGTGGCTGCGCCCGCATGCGGTTCCACCCACCATTCTGGCACACCCCTCACACGTTTCGTGGCCCCATAGGGAGCTCCACCGAAGGCCCCAGTGGCTGCGCCCGCATGCGGTTCCACCCCCCATTCTGCACACCCCTCACACGCTTCGTGGCCCCATAGGGAGCTCCACCGAAGGCCCCAGTGGCTGCGCCCGCATGCGGTTCCACCCCCCATTCTGGCACACCCCTCAGACGTTTCGTGGCCCCATAGGGAGTTCCACCGAAGGCCCCAGTGGTTGCGCCCGCATGAGGTTCCACCCTTCATTCTGGCACACCCCTCACACGTTTCGTGGCCCCATAGGGAGCTCCACCGAAGGCCCCAGTGGCTGCGCCCGCATGCGGTTCCACCCCCCATTCTGGCACACCCCTCACACGCTTCGTGGCCCCATAGGGAGCTCCACCGAAGGCCCCCGTGGCTGCGCCCGCATGCGGTTCCACCCCCCATTCTGGCACACCCCTCACACGTTTCGTGGCCCCATAGGGAGCTCCACCGAAGGCCCCAGTGGCTGCGCCCGCATGCGGGTCCACCCCCCGTTCTGGCACACCCCTCACACGTTTCGTGGCCCCATAGGGAGCTCCACCGAAGGCCCCAGTGGCTGCGCCCGCATGCGGTTCCACCCCCCATTCTGGCACACCTCTCACACGTTTCGTGGCCCCATAGGGAGCTCCACCGAAGGCCCCAGTGGCTGCGCCCGCATGCGGTTCCACCCCCCGTTCTGGCACACCCCTCACCCGTTTCGTGGCCCCATAGGGAGCTCCACCGAAGGCCCCAGTGGCTGCGCCCGCATGCGGTTCCACCCCCCATTCTGGCACACCCCTCACACGTTTCGTGGCCCCATAGGGAGCTCCACCGAAGGCCCCAGTGGCTGCGCCGCATGCGGTTCCACCCCCCATTCTGGCACACCCCTCACACGTTTCGTGGCCCCATAGGGAGCTCCACCGAAGGCCCCAGTGGCTGCGCCCGCATGCGGTTCCACCCCCCATTTCGGCACACCCCTCACACGCTTCGTGGGTGGCTCCATGGGGAGCTCCACCGAACGCCCCAGTGGCTGCGCTCGCATGTGGTTCCCCCCCCCATTTCGGCACACCCCTCACACGGTTCGTGGCCCCATAGAGAGCTCCACCGAAGGCCCCAGTGGCTGCGCTCGCATGCGGTTCCACCCCCTTTTTCGGCACGCCCTTCACACGTCTCGTGGCCCCATAGGGAGCTCCACCGAACGCCGCAGTGGCTGCGCTCGCATGCGGTTCCACCCCCCATTTCGGCACACCCCTCACACGTTCGTGGCTCCATAGGGAGCTCCACCGAAGGCCCCAGTGGCTGTGCTGGCATGCGGTTCCACACCCCATTCTGGCACACCCCTCGCACGTTTCGTGGCCCCATAGGGGGCTCCACCAAAGGTCCCAGTGGCACTGCCCGCTTGCGTCCGCCACCACCCAGCACAGCCCTTGTTCCCTGCGCTTCACCCACCCAGAACAGCGCTTCGTAGCCCTATAGGGAGCTCCACCAAAGGTCCCAGCGGCACCGCCCGCATGCGTCCGCCACCACCCTGCACAGCCCTTGCTCCCTGCCTGCGTTTCACCCACCCAGTACAGCGTTTCGTGGCCCCATAGGGAGCTCCACCGAAGGTCCCAGTGGCACCGCTCGCATGCGTCCGCCACCACGCAGCACAGCCCTTGCTGACCGCGTCTCACCCACCCAGTACAGCGCTTCGTGGCCCCATAGGGAGCTCCACCGAAGGTCCCAGTGGCACCGCCCGCATGCGTCCGCCACCACCCAGC